ACATTGAGAGATCTTTTTACTGGTTGCTCTGGAATAAATTATCCTCCTTGGCAGTATCGGAGTACCCTTCTTCAATCGTGTTTTGAAAAGAGTTCTTAATTGTAACTAGGCAGTGCCTTGACTATGTCCCTAGTATTGTTGATTTTCATAAGATACGATACGCTGGCCCTCAAGTAAACTAAGCCCCGTCTAGACGAATTAATTATCGGATAATTAAAAAAAATCAGGAACCCAGTATTTTCCATCCACTACTAATTAAAATGAATCACGTTGAAAATGAAAAACAACTTAAATATAAAACATGTCGGCTTACATTTAAGGGTTCTGTAGTGAAGGCTTTTTTGTGAACTCTCAATAGCGTATAACCAAAAAAGTTATATAAATATACAAACGTTAGACGCTAATAGCCCATTCGCAAACCGATTTCACTGGCTTTTTTCACTTAATACTTCAAAACGTGGACGGGGCAGACAATTTTACGACAATATTTTTCTTCTTCTTGCTTAAATATTAAAAGTAACCTCGGTAAGAAAGTTTAATTTTATTTATAAGGTCTCATTAGACCAGATACGGATACTTGCTTTTTACTTTTTCATTTTGTAGCTACGTTACAAACTACTTGCAGCATATTACTAAACTGAACTTCAAATCGTAACGCATTCCTGCTTCACGGCAGAAATAGGGTGGGGTGGTACCTACCAGTGAGAACTCACAAGAAGTCCTACCACCAGTAAATACATACATACATAATTATTTACAACATATGAACAACTATATCGATGTTAACCCCCAGACAAAGAGTAAACTAACATTAATGTTTGGTCCAAGTGAGAATCGAGCTCACGACCCTTGGCATGACATTCAAGGGTAACTAAACCTAAACTCTAAGTAAATAAGTTATACATTATTCTTTGAAGCTCTAATTTCTCCTGAACACATTCAAAGTATTTATTAAGGTTTAAGTAATGTTAATGAAATCATCAACTTCTTAGTAATAATATCCCGGATTAAGGACCATGAGTCAGTGAACCGAGTTTCAACTATTCCCGTCAAAGATCAAAGCTTACCTTCTAACTTAGTTTCACCCTTATGTGGAATTCTTATTAAGGGCCTACTCTTGTTAAGGGCTTTTCGCTTTTGAATATTAAAATCGTTGACTCCCATTAAAGGTTAACAGTATTTTGATTTTTTGTTACTTTTGGGAGACCAGCACTATACAATACGGATAATTTCCTCGAAATAGGGAACCGATAGAAATACTTGCACAGGAACTATTTTGATGTACGATTTAACTAATAATTGTGTGCTTCATTAACTTAGCACTGGATATTATGTCAGTTCATTCAAATATTTATGCCAAAAATGTAGTAGGAGTTGGAAGATCACTGTGGAGGCCAGCCAATATCGGGTAGTCGATCAAGGGAGACACCGTGTTCTGTGGTTAGTGACATCAATGGCCATCGACTAAACGCTCATGTGAGGCTAGTTCGCGATCCCGAAAGTTACGAACTTACTGCAGCAGCCGCAGCTTGATATCACACTTAGACCATTAGATACTTCTGCAAAATTAAAAGTCGTCGTGGCCTAAAGGATAAGACGCCTGGTACATTCGTATGTAGCCATGCGTCAGTGGTCGAATCCTGCCGGCAGGTACAAATGTTTCCAATGAAATACTTACTTAACAAATCTTCACGATTGACTTCCACCGTGAAGGAATAACGTGGTGTAATAAAAATCAAACCCGCAAAATTATAGTTTGCGTAATTACTGGTCGTTTGCTCTTAAAATAATATCAAGTTTTACCTTAATACTCAAATATATCAAGTGTAAAAAGTCACAATTCAAGATAATAGAAGATACTTTACATAAAAATAAACCAAGAAAGTTTGTGAACAGTGTTAATGTGCAACCTAATTATCAGAAATGAAAAAATAACCTTTTGAGATTATTATTTTTATTTTGAGGGTATTTATTTTGATAAATACAGAGTGAAGTAAGTCACAGTTTAAGCCACAGACAATTCGACAATTTACATTCAAGCTAGGCAACTTTCAGAAATCATATCGATAAACAGTAATTTAAGTGTGGCTACTTCATGAAAACAATAAGTTACTATATAATCGGGGTTGCCAGATCTACTTTAAAATTATACTAGAATCATCTTAAAACGATCTACTAAAAATCGTAAAACAAAAATTTTCACTGAAAAATGGATAATCAAATGCAAAAATTATTAGAAAAAATTCAAGAGCAAATGAAACAACAGACTATCGCTATAACAGAAGCTCTAACTAAAAATGTAGTGCAACAAATTGATGAACGATTTAAAATGATAGACGACGAAAACAAACAACTTAAAAATTCAGTCAAAGAACTTAAGGAGAAAATTAAAGGTCTGGAAATGGCTAAAAAGAAGACTAACATACTACTCTTTGGAATAAAGGAAAACAAACAAGAAGAGTTAAGTTTGGTAAAATACATATCTGAAAAACTTAATTGTCATCTTGGATTAAGCATACAAGAGCACGAAATTATGAATATCTATAGAATTGGAAAGATAAAAACTACGCCTCGACCTATTTTAATATCCCTTGTATCGTACTGGAGAAAAATGGAAATAATGAGATCCAAAAATAAACTACCCCAGGGTATTTATGTGAAGGAAGATTATACTAAAGAAATATTAGAAGCACGCAAAACATTATAACCAAAGCTTGAAGAGGAACGAAGGAAGGGTAACATAGCATACTTAAAATTAGATAAACTAATAATCAAGAGCCAAACGGATGCTAATCGAGAAAAAAGGAAAAGAGACCCATCTTCTTCACCCAATGTCAGCACACCACGAAAAGAAAATGAATTGTACGTAGCTCCGAAGAAAGTCAACACAACTAATGCATACGAATACATGGCACGCGTAAAATCAAACTCATTAAGAGAGAAAACCAATGTATAGCGATCACCATACACTCGAAACCGGAATAATAACAATCATTACAATACAAACCTGCAAAAAACAACCAAGAAAAACATTCCCCCAAGCCGGCTGGTCCCCGTGGGGGAAANTGAATTGTACGTAGCTCCGAAGAAAGTCAACACAACTAATGCATACGAATACATGGCACGCGTAAAATCAAACTCATTAAGAGAGAAAACCAATGTATAGCGATCACCATACACTCGAAACCGGAATAATAACAATCATTACAATACAAACCTGCAAAAAACAACCAAGAAAAACATTCCCCCAAGCCGGCTGGTCCCCCTGGGGGAAAATGACCATAACCCTCCAGTAAGCAAAACAGTACCTCAAAAATCAATACAAATTGGAACATTTAATGTAAAATCGTTAGCATCCACAACAAGATACATAGAACTAGTATACTCACTAGAAAAATATTAGGCTTAGTTGAAGTTAGACGGATGGGCTGTGGCATCGAAGAGCATCAAGACTTTATATTCTGCTTTAAAGGAGAAACACCTGGCATGCGTAAAGTAGGATTTTTGATAATCTATTAAGCTTCTTAGGCTTATCTAAAAGAGTTGCAATACCTCAACTGGAGTTCAACAAAATGATAATATCAATCAATAATTCAAGTGTATGCACCAACTGAAAAGGATTCTAAAGGAAAATCGATAAAATTTTACGAATCACTACAAGAAGCGCAAGCACAGGCTAGTGAAAATGTACTGTTAATGGGAAACTTCAATGCCAAGATAGAGATAGCTAAAACAAAAGAAGAAAATAATGGATGAAAAGAGCTAAGAACAAAGAAAATTAGATTAAGCTGGAGGAGGCCTATACCCAAATAGGGGTTCCTACAACAATAAAGAAAAAAGAAGTGTAAAAACTGAAAATAGATCAAAATGTAAAAATCATATTACTATATATTTAAGAATATTTACATGTAATATTTAGGTGATGGGAAATAAAAGGCTTTATTATTATATTATTATTATTAGTATTAATAACTGGTGGTAGGACTTCCTGTGAGTCCACACGGGTAGGTACCACCACCCTGCCTGTTTCTGCCGTGAAACAGTAATGCGTTTCGGTTTGATGGGCGGGGCAGCCGTTGTCCTGTTAAAAGCTCACTTTTAGCTCACCTTACAACCCATGTCTCAAGGTGGGTGGTGGGTGGTAACTATTTAACACCAGGTGGGCCATGAGCTCGTTCATACGTCTAAGCAATAAAAAATAAAATAAAAAAGGGACGCTACTCTGGATTCTGTAGAAACCGGCGCTTGCTGCTGATTATTACTGGCGATCTGAATTCTGCTCTCGTAGTCGTCGTTCTAGTGCGAAAGGCAAAATCTCGGTGATTCATACTTGAAGTTAGTCTATCACCGGACTATTAATTATCGAAGCGATTTACCCAGTCTTCGAGGAACGTGATTGTGAGCCGTGATTCAGGACGCATCACCTACCGGCTGGTGCTGATCGACCATGAGTGCTATGACATACATTCGTAAAGGATCATAGTAGAACCGAAGGCTGAAAGCCGTCATTACGAACGCGACTTGGGCATAGCCAAGTAGACGGTCATCATCTACCCCGCATAGCCAAACAGAGTATATCATCGTTTAAGGCTATGTCTTATTTCAACCATTTTTCAAAACACTTTGGGTGAATGCACTCACACCCTGCTGTGAAGTGATTACAGAAGCTCATATTTAAGACAATGTGAATGCCATCCACTTTGACACATGAAATCGAAGTGTTAACAGCTACACCCGTAGACTGAAACACTTGGCAGCTCCGCAATACAAATAGGCAGGATGGTGGTACTAATCTGGATGGACTCTATTCACTGTACCACCAAAAAAAGGTTTAAAGGTCATTTATAAATCTCGATTTAAAACTGCTTCATGCCTTAGCTTCTAAGTTAATCAGGGAGCCCTGAATAAAATACCAACTCATCGTCAGAAATATTTATTCAAAATCAACTCTACAGATAGAAGCGCTGGTTTAATGTTGTACGCGATAAAAACGATAGGTATCATATAAGATGTTTCGGCAAATAATAATCTCTAATACTAGTGTCGTTGTCGAGATTTTTTTTTGTTAATTGAATCAGCACTAATTCGTATGTCACGATCGTACCGATGACCTAGAAACAAGTTTTGTAAATTATTAGCCAGTGTGCAAGGAAATAAGGATCGTCACGTTGGATAAACTGTATAATCATTTAACTGCGTATTCAGAATTCAGGTTTGTCGAACATTCGGGCCAGTGTTGGGATGTTTCTTTCCATATTAGAATCCATTGAAAAACTTTATAAAATGCTGAATATAACCTTAGTGAAGTTGCATTTTCAACATTGAACTAAACCGTAACAAACTTTACTTCTAGTATCTTAAATCACAGGGCTTGTTTCCGAGGACATTTTCTCATCATTGCTTTCTGACTGATATGACGGTTCATTCTCCGAAATAATTTTAGGAAAAAGCTCTTAGTAGTAATCTAGCCTGTTATCATAAATAGGTATCAATGGACCACCTATTAGATAACACATGGCCCAGGTCAATTTAAGTGGTTGCCAAAGTTTTGCGACATCTCAATGTAAACACAGTTATTCACCACCACAATGTAAAAAGCGGTGGAAGGATAACTGGCTACTTCACGAAAGAAATAAGCAGGATCATAGTACCAAACTATTTGGAGTCACAATACGCCCAAACGTATCCAGGATCTCGGAACTAAACTCACCCTGAGAATCATTCCTCTGGTCACATTAAAGCATACCCCACTCAAACCGACTGTTGTATAACGAAGCTGCAACTGAAATCTCTGCACCTGATAATAAATAAAAACTCTTACTTAGTATTGAAACTGTTCATATGCCAGTCTGTGAGTTAACTTCAAGCAAAAGCAATTCAAACTACATTGCAATTTAATTTTAAGTTCTATTCAAGGTATAAAGAAAATAAAACTGGAGGCTTTGCAACAACCTACGGTCATTCGGTAACGTGCGAACTTATTGTGGTATACTTCATTCACGGTTGTTTGCGTTAGTGTATTGCGCAAACGAACGCTCTGAGATCGTGGTCAATGAATAATAAAAAAATATGTTATTTTTTGTACGTTACAAAGTTAAGTCGTACACTGTGTGCATTACTAATTTGTACGTTATTACAAATTTAAGTCGCACACTGTGTGTATTACTAATAAAAATCTCACATTACGGACGTTTTTTCTCGGTTAGGGTACCCCTCCGCATCGTCCCATGAGGAACTTCGTTCCAAAAATCGTATTATAAATAAAATACTTACATCTAAACTGTAATCAGCGGTGGGCACTTCGTACAAGGCTAACTGCGGCACTTGGGCACACGAATGTACGTTAGCTGCCATGATGGATAACAATAATGCGCGCGTCACGAGAAATAAAAACGAAAAAACATAGTACGTCAAATACGTGAATGAAGCTGTTGCTCTGAAAAAAAAAAAGATATTATAATTTATTATTTGCCGCAATTACTCCTTGATAACAAAAATCCACATCAGGCGTGTGATTTCGTTAAAGGCTGCCTTTGAAATGGTGACCTAATCGCCGATCCCTGCTTAAGTCCACTCACATACTAGTAACACGTCGCCCCCTTGATTTTCAAGTGATGATTCACTAGTATTCAACGTTCACGTTAAAAAAGGATCCATAGCGAAGACCAAAAGCTCGGAATGATGAAGTTCAGGATATCAAACCGAAACAGTATTATCTTGGGTCCTAACCCATGCATCAGCCCGCTGGGTTTCTCGCCGGATCTTCTCAGCGGATTGCGATTCCGATCCGGTAGTAGATTCATCCCCGAAGCAGCTGCTCTCGAGTTGATAGGTCTCCTTCGGAGGCGCTCAGGCAGCTGTTAGCAAATCCCACGCCTCCTAGCAAAGCCTTTGCTCGCCCACCTGTCCCGGTGAAACTGGAAAGGCCTCATGGCCACCAGTAATCCTTCAATAATAAAAAAGAAAGAAAAAAATTTATTTTGGGTCCTGTAGGGTTCCGTCTGGTTATAAGTGCTTACCGCGGTAACCCCCTTACCTCATCCGGGTTCTGATCTCGGAGGGGATCAGACGCTTGGGCGAAGAGTGCAGGGGAGTTGTTTCGTGGGTAGGGCCCTGAAAACATCCTTGGGCCCGCGGTCTCGCAGTCGCGGACCAGTCCTACATACCCCGCTCGCCCCCTAAAACGCGGGGACCTCGTAGGAGGTTCGGACCTCGGCCCGTAAAAAAAGGGTCCCGTAGATAATTTAATAAAGATTTTTTTTCTCCAAAGAAGCAATAGTAATTAATAGAATTTTTTTACACATACTGCTGTTGCTAATATCCATGAGCGGCAATAAGCCCTACCATCAGTTAGGAGACTAGAGACTTGGCTAGATTTTATGATAGAAAAGAAATAGAAATACCGGTTTCTCTACAAATCAAGCGGGAGACAGTAGAAGCTGAAGTGATCCTTGCCCAGAATAAGTGGGACGAAGTCGAAAAGTACTCAACTACAATGACCCTTTGGTCGTTTATGATGATAACTTTTTTACTGGTGGTAGGACCTCTTGTGAGTCCGCGCGGGTAGGTACCACCGCCCTGCATATTTCTGCCGTGAAGCAGTAATGCGTTTCGGTTTGAAGGGTGGGGCAGCCGTTGTAACTATACTGAGATCTTAGAACTTATATCTCAAGGTGGATGGCGCATTTACGTCGTAGATGTCCATGGGCTCCAGTAACCACTTAACATCAGGTGGGCTGTGAGCTCGTCCACCCATCTAAGCAATTAAAAAAAAAAACTAAATTTTCAATCCTACTTATATCCTTATATCTAGAAAGTAACTTACATAATATCCATGTTTTCATTGCATACATCGTTCGCATCATAAATACGGCTGAAAAAACAAATCATCATTAATAATAATTCAGAGGCAAAACGAGATCAAAATTGTAATTAAAATTTAAGACAGCAAACCATCACTATTTCGTCCGATATGAATATCGTTACGACGAAATGTTTAAATCTAAAAGCCCAACTATTTATGAGTTTGTGACATTGTAACAATAATGTCGAGTGTGGCTAAATCTTTTGAGGGTGTGTTTTAAGACATTTATTATAAGATACATGCATTCAATATTTAAGTGAATGTGACATTTTTCAATAACGAAAATAATTTTAATTTGAGAATATATATTGTTAATAACTGACCCGGCAGACTTCGTAGTGCCTCAGTCGAGAAATAAAAGACCTAAACTTTTGTATAAAATAAACATAAAACAAACAAAAGGAATCCGTCCCACGGCGGACACATCAAAGGAGAAACAAAATTGTTATTTTTATTTAATTCCCAGCATTTTCATATTTATGTACCTTTTAAACCTTCTCTGGACTTCCACAAATAATTCAAGACCTAAATTAGCCAAATCGGTCCAGCCGTTCTCGAGTTTTAGCGAGAGTAACGAACAGCAATTCATTTTTATATATATAGATTATTTTAATAGTTAATAACTTATTGTGTTATTGTAATGCATAATTTAATAATAGTATTGCTGCAGCATAGTGTTTCTGTCATAAAACCGACATATGTTCTAGTTTTATATACACAGCCGTGGGTCACTACAAATGAGATTTTGTTCCTATGTCTTAAATTGGGCTTTGGGTTTTATGTCTTGGTGTTTAAGGACTCCACTGGCCACTAAGCGTCAGGTCTAAATCTGTCTGAAGAACTTTTCAATTGTGAAATAATTACTGAAGAATATACTCACTTCAAGGAGTTGTATAATTGGAAACAAATGAAAAACAGATTCGTGAAATACGAAATCAGTACAAAATAATCTAGCTGCTCGTCCATTTGCTTTACTATTAAAACAATTTGGGAGTACTGCACTCTCAGAGTACTCCATGGAACTGTTTTCTGAAAACATTAAATAAAAAACCCACATACAACGTTAAAATGGACCTTAAATATCAAATTGAGAAACAAATAATTTAACAAAAATTACTTGGCTTGATTTATTTTATTAATTCTACGAATTTATTCAACATAAGACACCAAAAAAATTGAAATGCACAAGATACATAGTATGATTTTTTTATTAAACAATCAAAATGGTTACATTATCTATGGTTAATTTATGATCTATTCAATCACCGCTCTCTTTAAACCTAACCTTAAAAAGAATATTATTAACTTGTTTATGGTTATGCTATACTAATATAATAATGATTATGCTATAGAAATAATTGTTATAATAAAATAACTAAGTTACGAAACAATTGATGGTAACTAACTAAGAAAAGCATTAAAAGACTACTGAGTTGCAGGGAATCAGTCAAAAAAAATTATAAATTTACAACCCCAATGTCGACACATATTTCATAATCTCATAAATGGCCAAACCCAAATACAGGTATTTGTGGAAAAATGAAAACCTGTTCAGAAATGAGGAAGAGGGCAGGCAGAATTCACACAATTTTATAAAATGATGCGAACCTGTGATAGCGCTCTACAAACACTCACGTAGCGGGAAAAAGATGCAAAATTCCCTTTCGACCTCCCAAATAAAAACGTATAAAATCTATTTTCTCGTGATTATTTCAATTCACATAGTACAATACAACAATGGCTAAGCATTTTGGTTTTAGTAAATTTATATGAGAATCAATTTATTGTAGTTTCGGTCATTAGAGAGAGCTATGTGTAAGACAAATTTTTAGAAGTTGTATATTGAGAAATTATGAAATACAAATCAACTTTAGTTACAGATGAACTTCAAATTGTATTAGGATAAAAAAACACTCGCCTTTTTCTTGAAAGAACTAACGGTATTGTTGAAATCTTCGAAGAAGGACGATAAATAAATGCTGAAACACATTATCAAGACGTCTGTGAAACTCCACAAGAACGTGGCTTGCATACAGAGGAACTGTAATAAAAGATTGGATCAGAACTATCTCAGCTCCATGACTGATTTAGAGATTTTCAAATATTTTACTAATGTTGTTTTCTTTGGCCTTAACAGTAAATTTGTTCTTGAAACTTGCAATCGGGAATAATTATTTTGTGAACTTAATTGCTGATGTTTTAAATTACTATCTAAGAAAGAGGGCCATTGGTTTAGAGCTTGAAGTTAAAAATACAATCATATTCGATTATGAAATTGTAAATTGTGAATACGGTTTAAATAAAATTTATCTTAGTGAGTCATTTTTAAAAAGTTTTAGAAAAAAACTAATAACTAAGGAAACTAATGATCATTCCTTAAACCAGAATTGTAAATTAAACATACCTCAGCGATAAATCCCACAAAGAAGCTGTAAGTAGTCGAAGTCGAAAAGTAATCGAAGACAAACTTCCATTTGAATTTGAAGTAATTATTGAATACTGTGTGATTAAAGCTGGTTTCTCCCAAACAACACATGACAGACCTAATATTGAACACTTTGGATAATGCGTGCTCGACTGGAAATAAACGCAATGTAATTAAATATTAATAACAATAATAGTGTAGTGTAGTAATAATTACTTAGATTTTTAACAGACTTTCTCTTTTCTGTATAAAATTTACTGTAGTTATTAACAATCTATGAGAAAAAACGTGAACGTGTGAGAAAGATTTTTTTTTATTACATCTCATAACAAATTTTGGTATTGTCTTTTGTTTTTATGCTGACGCCCTATACGAAATATATGACATTTTAATTTTATGTGTCCATTTATGGTTCGTAAGTTGCTAGTTCTCAATTTGTGAGAACACCTAATTAAATTTATAACTATAACTACTCATCTCAGGGCTATCTTTAAGTCTAAACATTCGGTTAGATGAAATATTATTTAACTATATTTAATTTATCTCATTTAATTTCAATAGATCTATTTTTGCTATGTATGTTTGGAAATTTTGTGACGCTTCAAAAATCTAACTCTCTATATCTATAGTTGATTGTTTTAAATCCTTGAAAGTATATTTTTGTTATTAATCAGTAGACTCATCTGAAAATGATCAGAAAATGAGACCAAATTGAACAAACTCAGAGCCACGACCCAACAAAGAGTCAAATTTTTGTGCAGTCGTTTCAATTTATACCCAGATGTTTGGCATAGTTCCATGAAAACACACGTGCAAATTATTTTAATTAGTTTATTTCATATTCATTTGAAGTTACAGCGAAGCCCGGACTATAGAATTCAAATATAATTAATCAAATATAATTGAAGGCGTTAAAAGTGAGACCTTACAACTCATGCCCCAAGGTGAGTGACGGCATTAACGTTGTAGCTGTCTATGGGCTCCGGTAACCACTTAACACCAAGTTTGCTGTGAGCTCGTCAACCCATCTAAAAACAAAAATAAAAAAAAATAACAATGTGTCAGTCAATCATATTTCAAAATAGAAAGCGGTAGGCAGCGGCTTGGCTCTGCGCCTGGTATTGCTGAAGTCCACAGGTGACGGTAAGCACTCACCATCAGGTGGGTCGTATGCTCGTCTGCCTTCAAGGGCAATATCGAAGTCAGCTGGTGGCATTGAAGGGTTTTGTTTCTGCTCCGGTGCAGGTTGGTTCTGGTGTTCCCCAGGGATCCCACTTAGGACCCCTCCTTTTTATTATTTTTATTAATGATTTGATTGAGAAATTATCTTGCAGTTGTCTTTTGTATGCCGACGATCTAAAGGTCTATAATGTTATCTCCCAGACATCCGATTGTCTCGCCTTACAAAAAGATTTGGACATTGTATCGGAATGGTGCAAGGTCAATCACATGCATTTGAACATAAATAAATGTTCCATAATTACGTTCACTAATAAAAAACATAAAATTATTCATACATACACAATTGAGGGCGAGACACTAAAAAGACTATTCATAGTTAAAGATTTGGGTATCTACTTCGATGAAAAACTTTCATTTAGGGAACACTATGAACAGATTACTTCTAGGGCAAATAAGTTATTGGGGTTTGTATTGAGATCATCAAAAGATTTTAAGAATCCTCGGAGTGTTTTGTATCTGTACTTCAGTTTAGTGAGAAGTGTATTGGAATACGGCAGTCCAATATGGTCCCCTAATTACAGAGTGCACATTAACACTATTGAGCGTGTGCAAATGAAGTGTTTAAGATTATTAAGTTATCGTATACAACCAGGCCGCTCTGAACTTAAATACGAGCAAAGACTATTAAACTATAACATGCAGTCACTAGAAGATCGACGTACATGCACTGATCTGATATACTTATATAAGATAATTCACTCTCTGTTGGATTCGCCTGAACTGTTATCTCAGATTTCATTAAACATTAAATTTAGTGCTCGGAGGGTCAACCAAAACAATTTGTTTGCATTGCTAATTTACAAAAACAATATATCTTATTATAATCCCATTACCCGAATGTATCGTACCTATAATGAACTGGCAAGGTCGTCACCTGAGTTAGATATTTTTACTTGTAGGTTAGTTACGTTTAGAAAAATGTTCAAGGGCATCCTCCACTTTATTTATTAATAGGTAGGTTAATGTAATTGTTTAATGTACTATATTGTGATTTTTTTTTTTTTTTTCTTCCTTACATTATTCGTTAGATTAGTTTTTGTTATTGTGTTGTTTTGTCATAATTGTAAGGAACATTGTTATACAAATTCAGCACTATATGTCTTGTTTTGTCGTGCGCACATGTCTTATGTTGCAAGCCAGATTTTGTTTCTTTTTGTTTGTGTTTTTTGTGTATCTTTAGCTTGTAATGTGTGTTGTGAGCCTAATAAAATAAATAAAAAAAAAAAATAAAAAAAATTAAAAAAAACGACGTGTGGCACTCGGGGACTGCCGCGGTAAAGCTATTGCAAAGCATTTTTTATTTACTTATGCAATTACAATTAGACAATAATAATTTAATATTAAAACAATAATAAAAATAAGACCATGCTATATTTATAACATTAACAAAAGCAAAACATTAACTGTCTCCTTCACACTCATAAGCTAGACCGCGTGAGAGAGATGGGCAGACTTTTCATGATGCTCATGCAGTGCGACGTCACGCCGCGCGCTTATTCACAAACACTACACCAGCGCAACGTGTGAATGTGTTGAACGCGAGCTACATAGTAGGCGTAGTGGGGGTGTCAGGTTATTTTCGTTACTGAATTTCTTGATTCAGTCGCCGCACTCAGGGGCCGCAATAGACGCTATGCAATAGCATAAAAATAACCAAAGATTGACTTTGGATAAAACTCAAGATTTAAATCACTTACTCAACGCAAAAATCAGCACTACATAGGTCAAGGTATTGGTTCTCGAAACTAGATTTCTCGTTGTTCGTATTTCAGTCACGCTTTGTTCGAACTCCAAAGTTTTTGATATCAATGCTGACCAATTCTTGGACAGACGCCACAGCAGCACCAACGTTGCGTAATTAGTAAAATAAAATAGGAAATTCGCTGAAAATACAAATATTGACGTGTTCAAAATGTATTTAGACACAAATTTTAATGTAAGCTAAAGAATAGTTGAGGTGAACACTTAACGGTGCATATATTTACAATTATATTATACATAATATGAAAATTTAAAAATTAAAAGGATGATAAATGGAAAATGGATTTACGACACAAAGGATGCAGAACAAATAAAAAGAAATTTAGGCTGAAATCAACAAACAAGATCAGAAAATAACAGAAGATTATACGTTAATTCAAAACTCAAAAGAATATTATGACGATAAAGCGCAAAATATTACAAAAGAATAAAAACTTAATTTTGGGAATCAGAGGCATCGACCAGACAATATACAGTCGGAACTACTTTTGACATAGTTTTTATTTGTATTCGAGAAGAAAATGTAGATTTCTTGTTTTTCCGTCCTCTTCTACATTCAATTTAAGAATATATTTCCATCCCAACCACATTCGCTATAGATAAGAATCCATTACTATTAAGTATATAACATATAAATAAACCGCATCAATGGTTACGAAACAAAGAAAAAGAAATACAGTTCATAGATAAGGAAATGGCACGTAATTGTTAATGCTTTTATATATATTCTAGATAATAGGTTGGGGAAAAAGTTTCTTCCCATTTTTAAGAAAAATCACAACATTTTTGAAGTTAAACTTCTTTAGGCGCGTTTTGAAAAATTGATGAGAGTGAAATTTTACGATGCTGGCGCACCGTGACACAAAATTAACAGAATGAAGTTGCCCACTAAATCGCCCATTACAATACGACCGACGTAACTTGGCGAGTCTGAATATAGCCGCAGGTGAACTTTCCGAACCGTGCCGAGAATTACCGAATCTATACGATGTCAAGAAAAGGGATGTCCAATATCCGTGTTTGAGGATGTTGTTTAATCGATTTTTTTTTCAAATTGATCAAAATTTAAATAAAAAAAAAAGAAATAAATTTAATAAAAATAAAGTATAACTTCTTACGCGCGTACATAAGTACACGCAGCCTTTTTTATTTACATTTACCTAAAGTATGTAGGTACAATTTTGTTTGAGAACTTTTTGCCATCTTGTAGGTAGGGACATGATCCCATTGCTATAGAAATTTTGGGATTTCTAATCAAACTACCGCGACAATTGGTTTTGGTAGTCCTATCGTGATGTTAACCTGACACTACCTAAAGAATTCTGAAGAGACCGAAACAGATGGAAATCTGAAGGTGAAAGGTCAGGACTATACGGCGGATGCATTAACACCTCTAGCGTTATCATAATGAAAAACCACACCCCTTCTGTTAATTAATTCCGGCCGCTTTCTCTCAACTTGTTGCTTTAATCTCATCAGCTGTTCGCAGTAGAGTTCAGAATCGATGGTCCTGCCGGTGGTAACAGCTCATAATGAATAATGCCCCCCTAATCCCACCACACACACAGCATCACCTTGTTAACCCGGGTTTTGCCACAGTTTGTGAAGCCTGACCGGCTTTTGATCACGATCTTTTTCGCACGTTCTAGTCGTACGTGATCCACTTTTCATCACCAGTTATCAGCTTCTTCAAAAATGGTTCGGTTTCACTACGTCGTATTTCATTAAGTCGTAATAAAGAATCACAAATGAGTACACGGTTCATTAGGTTTCTTTCAGTGAGCTCGTAGGGTACCCAAACATCGAGCTTTTTTGTGTACCCAGTTTTTTTTCAATTGCGCCAAAACTGTTTTGTGGTCGATTCCCAGCTCTTCAGCTACGTTGTAACTATTAATATGCCGATTTTGCTCTACTTTTCCAAAAATGGCATCCGTAATAAGACGACCAGAGCGACGTGCATCTTTGACATCAAAATTTCCGGATTGAAAACGCTTAAAGCAAATTTTTGCTACTCTCACAAACACTGCACTAGGTTCATAAACATTGCAAATTTTTTTCGCGGCTTGCGTTGCATTTTTACCTTTTTTAGGTATTAGGTTCACTCATCTTGACTGTACGAAAAATAACAAAAAATCACACATTTTCCTAATTTGAATTTGGAATTATCTTATTTAAAATTTAAACTTTTAATTATACCAAAACCAGCCAGGTACAAATAGTATAGCCAAAGAGATTTTATTACAAGTTCATACATATTATAATGCGAAAAGACTTTTTCCCCAACCTATTCCATAAAATTCATTAGAATCAATTAGGAAACAAAATTTGAACACAAAATAAAATCGAGGGTGTTTGAACGTATATCTCTGATGGGAAGGGAATTGTAAAATTAATTGGTACTACTCACAGACTACACTCAAGGACACGTTGCTATCCACAAACGAATAGAACGCCAGAAACGTCATCACCGTTTGTCCGATGACAGTTATTGCGTGGTATAAAGCGTACAGTGATCTGAACTCGAATCTTAAATCAAAGATACGTGTTTATTGATCACTTTGAAGCTTTTTTTTATGATTAAAGTATTACTGGTGGCCCGGTGGGCGAGCAAAAGTTCAGCCAGAAGGGGTGGGATTTGCTAACAGCCACCCGAGCGCCTCCGAAGGAGACCTAACAACTCAAGAGCAACTGCTTCGCGAATGAATCTTCTACCGGATCGGAATCGCGACCCGCTGAGAAGATCCGGCGAGAAACTCGGCGAGCTGATGCATAGGTTAGGTTGCACGTCGACCTCTTTGTCGAGTTCGACGATTACGGTTACCGGGGTTCCTAAGCCTGCCCCTAGTGTTAGAGCTGAAGGCGTCGGCGACTTGTAAGCTCCGTTCATTGGAATCGGAACAATAGGACACTTACATTTCATAATTTATTTACTTTTAGTAGTTAGGTTATAGCTACCGTAAGTCTTGAAAAAAGTAGGACTTGCATTAGCAAAACAGAAGAAACTTGTGAAAGTATTAAGTTCTACAGTAAGGCTGAGATACAAAAGGCTCTAAAATCTCTGTAGGAAAGCAATCACAGAAAATCGAGGATTGATGTTGTAACATATCAAATTGAAAATATATAGCCAACGACAATATAAATGTTCAAGTAACAAAACTAAGATGATTATAGTTCATATTTTTTTGTAGACTGAACTAGAGATGTCAGCTCATAAAAGAAATTCTAGTCGAAAAGGAAAGGACAAAAAAACTTTTCAAGGTAACTAACTGCCAATAACAGAGATCCTAAGAAATCACTTTTAATTGGACATTTTTTTTACTTTTGACGTCGATTTTTGTGCGTAAATATACAGCTGGGTTTTTTATTCATTGCTTAGAAGAGTGAACAAGCTCACGACCCATCTTGTGTTAAGTGTTTACCGAAGCCCATAGACGCCCTACGATGACATATTACTGATTGTGCTGATACGTACGTACGATGGATACGTACTTGACTGACTTCCGCGTTGAAGGAATAACATCATGTTATAAAAATCAAAACCCGCAAAAATATAATATACGTAATTACTGGTGGTAAGGTGTCTTAAGGCGAGTATGTACCACCACTCTACCTATTTCTCCCGTGAAGCAGTAATGCGTTTCGGTTTGAATGGTGGGACTGAGACTTAGAACTTATATCTCAAGGTGGGTGGCGGCATGTAAAAGTCGTAGCTCATAGGGGCTCTGGTGATCACTGAACGACAGACGGATCGTAATCTCGTCCACTCATCTCATCAATAAAAAATAATGAATAATGTAATTTTAAAGTAAATTACACTCGCAATTACAAAGCATCAATCATCGTTCACCTATTACAACCAAATGACATTTTATATCGTACATACATACCTGACGTCATCAGGATTGGCTTGCGATAAGCCTTGAACAGGAAAAAATCCCGCCCAGCGTGCCAACCGCATGAGATGCCTCAAGCCCGCGTGGAACTCACAGTAATTGGCTTTCGCTGTACAGTACTGTATTTGAGTATGCGCTTCCAAAACCATCTCGATTATTTGATTCTTGATAAGAAAGTCTTCGTATAATTCTGAAGGTATTATTTTGAATCCATAAAATTTCTGTTCGACAAAGCGTGAATTTAATATGAGATATTAGTGTGTAATGTGTTCTTGAATTTAGTGGTTTGTCTGTTTAGGTCGTAGAAGTGTCACAGTCTTTTTTTTTAATTTTTTAGATGGGCGGACGAACTCACAGCCCACCTGGTGCTAAGTGGTTACTGGAGCCCATAGACATCTACAACGTAAATACGCTACCCACCTTGAGATATAAGTTCTAAGGTCTCAAGTGGTCGACTATAGCCTCAAGTTTCGACTATGATCCCTTTTAGCGATTAAAGATCAAAGAAAAACTTTAGAAATATTACCTTTCCGTTGTTCTATTTTTTAGTATAGAGAGTCAATCGGTCCGTTGATTTAAAAAAACTAGGTACCTATCCTTATAGCTGTAGCTAAAACAAATCTCAATTGGCAATGGAGCAGCAGCCTTTCGATCTTTCTGATCGGAACCTTGTTTATGATCATGAATTAACGAAGGCTAAAACTTGATGCATATATGAAACCGTGCAACGTACGCAGTCCCACCATCATCCCCATCAATATAGGAATCAAAACTTTCTTTTTTACCTAATTTTCCTACCTTACGTTAGTTAGGAGTTAGTTAAGACAATATCCTAAGCATGCTAGATCTAATAACGAATGACAGAACTATAATGCGGACGTAAAGAAGTCGTCGAGGCCTAACGGATAAGACGTCCGGTGCATTCGTGTTGAGCGATGCACCGGTGTTCGAATTTCAGGCGGATACTAATTTTTCTAATGAAATACGTACTCAATAAATGTTCACGATTGATTTCCACGGTGAAGGAATAACATCGTGTAATAAAAATTAAACCCGCAAAATTATAATTTGCGTAATTACTGGTGGTTGGACCTCTTGTGAGTCCGCGCGGGTGGGTACCACCACCCTGCCTATTTCTGCCGTGAAGCAGTAATGCGTTTCGGTTTGAAGGGTGGGGCAGCCGTTGTAACTATACGTGAGACCTTCGAACTTATATCTCAAGGTGGGTGGCGCATTTACGTTGTGGATATCTATGGGCTCCAGTAACAACTTAACACCCAATGGGCTGTGAGCTCGTCCACCCATCTAAGCAATAAAATAAACCAATAAAAAATAAAAAAACTATAAGGTATTATGTGATATTTGTTGTGCCTTTTTATTAAGCTAAAACTAGCGGCCACTAGGGTTTTAAAAAGTTCAAAATCTATGGAAAACACGACACGAATTAAACTGCACATCTAAAAGAACCCAGAAACATTATTATTCCAGTGAAAATGAAATTACGTAAGTTTGAGATAATTGACAATTTTTTATAACGTTGAAAGAAATAACATTTCAAATGTATTTTTACACCTCGGTTTGTCCTATAAATGGTATGACTGCCGCTTTATAGGCTATTGCAAAATGAATCATTGATTTGGTTAACATCACCAACACACTCGCTAAATGATACTAGGTATATTTATTAAAGACTAGCGACCCACCCTCGCTTCGCTTCGGAAACTGTAATTTATTATTGATTTCTCCACTATTTAATGGATGTTAATATACATATAAAGCTTCCTCTTCAATCACTCTATCTGTTAAAAAAACCGCATCAAAATCCGTTGCGTAGTTTTAAAGATTTAAGCATATATAGAGACTGACAGATATAGGGACAGAGAAAGCGACTTTGTTTTATACTATGTAGTGATATTTTGGTGTTTCACCTTTAATTGTTTGTGTAATACCTGCGATGTAGTTTGATAAAAAATCAACTTAATGTTTTAGAACTGGATTTGTTGTTCTACGTCGCTCAAATACCGCAAATATTTGTGCCAAGTTCGCGAATTGCTCCAACGTTTCGACCAACATTCCACCTCTAAACTAGATACAGTGTACCTTAATTTAAACAAACTACATTAATTTACACGTAGACCCCGGTAACTACTCACCAAACGGCCCATCTAGAGCCTCGCCGTCTGAAACAACTGCGTATTATTAAAACAAGCTCGAAAATGTCAAGATAATCCAAACTATTCCAAACAAGTCTACATGTCCGATATTCGGGTAACAAATGAAAATATTTTTGACTTAATATTTCATGGGAACAATTCATTTGAAACGTCAACGGCTTAGACAGCATTGATTGATTGAGTGTTGGCATTTTCGTAAATGTTTGGATAGTTTATTTTGTACGTACACATTGGGGCTGGCTTGAAACAAACCGACGCGTTACCTACTCTTATTTCTTAGGACAGACTTATTTTTTGTTTCCTTTTGGTAACTTTTATATTAAACAATCTAAACTAAGTTTTTTTGCTGTATTTTTATATGTGTAAGTATTTATATGTATATTATTATGTACTCGAAAAATCATATGAGATATGAAGTTCCACCCTTAAGAAACTGCCAACTCAGACCTCCATGGTATTGTTAGAATTGTATGATTCCTAAACGCATCTTTATATCAATATCAACTGACAGCTGTCACTCGCCTAATATCTGTCAATGACAATTCTAGTGATCGTCCTTTTTTTCTCTTCTTGCGTAGTCAATGAGCCCTGATACAAATACGTGTATCGCCGTTTGAATAAAAACTATCCTTGCAAATCTTCGTCTTTTCACACGAAACGTCTGGGTATAACCTAGGATAACTAACTACGCTACTCCCTCATCAGCAACTGTGTGAAAACTTCTTTATTTTTGGTAGGTGTCTGAATAAACTCATCACGGCTCACTTTTTCCAAATTGTAATCGTGATCTCCAAAAATTTCGAGACTAACATTTTTCATGTTAAATTACCCTTTAAGTTAGTATTAAATATTTCTTTTTATTATTATTATAGTGATTGCCGAATCCCACAAGCATCACAACGTAAACGCTACCCTATTTGAGACAAAAAGTCATAGTCCCTATTGTATTATACCTATATAGCAGTTCTCTCATCCTACTCACCATCTCAGGCGGTACCAAGTCGTACGAGCTCACAATACTACCTACCAGTAACTATCATTTAGCAATCGCATTCACTGACTTGTATTGTTAAATAAGTGGAAGTTCTCACTTCTAGTTAAGTGCTTAATGGAGCTCATAGACATCAAGCACGTCAATGCCACCACTCACTTTGAGACATGAGTTCTAAGTCTCAATTTTTACAGTACAATGACTGCCCTATCCTTCACACCGAAACGCATTACTGCTTCGCGGCAGAAATAGGCACAGTAGTAGTACCTATCTGTATGAGCTCATAAATCACACTACCAGATATCCAGTAGACCAGTACTCTGAATCCTCACTCCTCGTCCACATCAAAGATTTCTAACAGTTATCTTCAAACACTGTACAAATGGCAGAGAAGCCTTAACCGAACCACTTAATATCGAGTTGAAGTTCGACAATGTTGTTAGTCGCAACCTTGGTGAGAGCCGGGCATGCCGCCAAAATCCGGATACAGCCCCGGATATTTATCACAGAGCTTCCTCATTTATTCTGAACGGAAACGTTTTCGGCAAATTATATCCGGAACTTTAAGTTTGTGGCTTCTCAAATCGATTTGGCTTCTTCGTAACTTCAGGTCTTTTTAGCTATGTGGTATTGGCCAATGATAGTATCATCCCATCGGTATTCGCAGTAGGATCGCCAATTGGTATTAACTGATAGTTTGATTATGTTGTAAGCCTATGTGTCAGATACCACCATCCTATCGCGGTATTTTGGGTTACTTTTTGAAGAATTTTGAGAGACTTCGATCTTATGTATCAATCTGGGTGGTTTGATCACAATAAGATCACACACACAGTGTAGTTTATGGATCAGAAAGTGACACAAGCCACTCCCTTTTTTCCCTAGAAAATGCAATATATTTCATTCTTACTGAATAACTTATGTAGAACGAAAGAAGCCGCAGGACACATCTAGTTTTTTTTTTTTTTTATTGCTTAGGTGGATGGACGAGCTCACAGCCCACCTGGTCTTAAGTGGTTACTGGAGCCCATAGACATCTAGAACGTAAATGCGCCACCCACCTCGAGATATAAGTTCTAAGGTATCTCAGTATAGTTACAACGGCTACCCCACCCTTCGAACCGAAACGCATTACTGCTTCACGGCGGAAATAGGCGGGGTGGTGGTACCTACCCGTGCGGACTCCCAAGAGGTCCTACCACCAGTGATTACGCAAATTATAATTTTTCGGGTTCGGTTTTTATTACACGATGTTATGCCTTCACTGTGGAAGTCAATCGTGAACATTTGTTGAGTACGTATTTCATTACAAAAATTGGTACCCGCCTGCGGGATTCGAACACCGGTGTATCGCTACATACGAATGCACCGGACGTCTTATCCTTTAGGCCACGACAACTTCAAATAAATATATCTCTAAAATCAATTATATAAAGAACCATGTGGACTCTAAGCTCAATTTTTAATATTAAGTATAAAAATAGAATCAAAGGAGACTTATGCCTGTAATATCAACAATTAATCAATTGTCTTTTGAATATTTTCATAAAGGTTTCTAAAGAACAAATATAGCACAGAAAAGACGATAATTTTAACAAAGTCTGCTGTTTAGTATTATTGTTTCGTTATCGCAAACTATCCACAGAGATCGTCTAAAGTTCAAGAGCGGTCTTCATTTCGCTTTTAATTAAAACTCTTTGTTTTAGTCTTCTTATTTTGGTGTTGGAACTTACGATTAATTCGAACGTCTAAAATTGGGTTAACTCGACAATCACCAGTCTGTCGAACAGAGATTTATTAGAGATAAAAACTTAAGAATTGTAAATTTATTGGTAAAATTTGGGTACGTTGTTCCTGCTGTGAAATTTCAAGGCTGAGATACCCGTTGTATTTACAAAGTAATTTTAAAGTTGATGGCGGCATTTGTGTGGGATCAGTAACTGCTTAATATGAAGTCGACAGCGAGCTAAAGCAAAATAAATAG